AACCCCAACCTCAACCAGAACCCCCTGATCAATGTGCGCGACCGCCTCTTCCATGCGCTCTTCTTCAAGATGGCAGTGACCTACGCGCGGCTCTTCCCACCCTCCTTCCGCCGCGTCTTCGAGTTCTTCGTCCTCCTCAAGGTGAGGGGGGATCTGTGGGGAGGAGCCGACCTTCCCCGCGCTGGCCGGGCGCGGAGGCACAGGTTTCCTTATCGCCGCAAGCACCTTGCCTCTGCTAGAGGTCACAGCCTGCGTTTGGGCCGCCTGCACCACGAGCTCCCATGGGCTTCTGCTCCGTGGGGAAGATGGGACTGGTTGGAGTGGTCTGTGGTGGTCTCTGCACCACCAGGGCTCTGGTACCGGGTCTGGAAATGGAAAGGAAAGCGCTGAGCCAGCGTGTTGGGCAGGGACAGGGACGTGGGTGCGAAAGATTCCTGTTTCCAAGCAATCCCTCTTTTAGGATACACCGAATATGTGATAGTTGGAGTGTCATTGGAGTCTTGTCTTCTCTGGAAGTGCTTAATGCACAACCCTGTTTTAACCCCATTTCCTTTCCGCAGTCAGCACCCTCAGCAGTGCTAATGCAGAATCACACCATGGGTGCAAACCCTCCTGCTTTCTTGTCAGTGTGGGTGCAGGGTTGGAGACCCACGGAGGGGCCTGTTTGTGCCCGCAGGGTGGGTTAAATCCTGCTCCACAGCTCCCAGGGCACACGGTGACACTTCTCACCAGTGTGAGGAGTAAGGGGAAGGAGGAGAGGAGCTTGAACAGGCTTCTGCTCCGAGTTCCTAAGATTCAGCTGCTTAAAGCAAGAAAACATTTAGGACAACTTGCCTCATTCTGCACATACACGTTTTGTGCCCTCCCAGGGGGTTTTACCATCTTTCTTCCCTCCCGTGTTGTGTAACTGGATTCAAGCAGGCAGGGGCACTGGGGCAGGGCTGGTAGCGGTTCTTGCTCCTGGCTGCCTTTGATCGCAGCACTCCCAAGGAAGTAAAGAGTATTCCCAGGGCATCTGCAGAGAGCAGCCTGCTCCCGCCGCAGGGTTGGGATCAGCCTCGGTGCACCGAGTCCTGAGGCTGCCCAAGGTTCTTCTGCCTTTGTGGTGGCTCTTCCTGTGATGAGGGAGGTGATTTTGCTTTACCTTCCCTGGTGCCTTCCTGGGCAGCTCCTCTGCAGATGAGCTGTTGACGAGTTCATAGCAAATGGGTCAAGAGCAATGTGTAGCAAGGGCAGCTGGTTAAAGTGGGAACAAGCATCTCGCTGCAGTTGGGCAGTGAGTGTGGGACACTCGGCTGTTCCGCTCCAGCGGCGTTCCTCGGAGTTCTCAGCTGTGGACTTTGGACAGTGTTGGGCAACATCGTGCTGGATTTATTACCTTCACTATAAGGAAGGAATTTTATTAGGCCACTTTGGTTTGCTGTGACTTTATAGCTGTTCCCTGGGCCAGGGAGTGGTGATGTCCCTCACAGGCCACCTCGACCTCCGCCGTGGCAGCAGCGAGAGGTGGCTGTTGTGTGTGGATTTGGGTTGTCCTGCTCTTGTAGTGGGCTGTCTCTTGTCAAAGTTTGCTTTATTCTGCCTTAGAAGTTGGGTGATCTCCTCTGAGATGCTTTGTGCTGAGGAGGGAATGGTTGAAAGCCACGGGTGTGTTTCTGTGTCTTTCAATGTGCTTTGGAGCCTCCTTGGGGCTGTGTTGGGTTGGTTTGCCTCTGTGCAGTCCTGAGGATGGTGTTGGTTTGCAGGAGCTTACACGGTGCTGGGGCCCGTGTACTGCACAGGTATCAGTGGCAGCTCTGGCCTTGTGAGCAGGATTGTTCTTCCTCTGTCTGTCTTTGGTGTGTTCCCCTCTCAACACAGAGGTGCTGAGATTGCCTCAGTCTGGGCTGCGGGGTTGGGAAGCATAAAAACCTCTTGTCCACGTGCAAACCCATATGTCAAAATTAACCCAGCGTGTTTACAGGCGAAGAGGAAATGGTTAAAACTGGGCAGGGTTGGGCTGATGGTCTCTGCTTTGTTTCTTGCTGTGTGTAGGCTCTCTTTGTGCTCTTCATCCTGGCATACATCCACATCGCCTTCTCCCGCTCGCCCATCAACTGCCTGGAGCACGTGCGCGATAAGTGGCCGCGCGACGGCATCCTGCGGGTGGAAATCCAGCGCAATTCCAGCCGAGCCCCCATCTTCCTGCAGTTCTGTGGTGCTGACAAGTTCCCGGGGATGGTGGTTGAATCCCCAGCCGAGGAAGAGGAGGAGGAAGAGGAGGAAATGACAGTGGATATGTTTGAAAACAGCTCTGTCAAGGTAAAGGCGCGTTTCCAGTGTACACGGAAGGAGATGGGAGCCTGGTTGTGGGTTTGGGGAGAAGTGGTTTGGTAGTGCAGTCCCTCTGTGATCCCTCGGTCATCTGGGAGCAGAGCGTGTTCCTTGGCTTTTCCTGAACCTCCACAGCAGCCTCTGATGATTTAAGACAGAAAGTAAAGTCTGAGGAAGGGGCCTTTTGTGTTCCCTTTTTAGTGCTGGGAGCACAGAGGGAGTGCTTCTGCACTGAACTTGGGGGGGTTTTGAGTGACTGCTGACGTGCCTTTCCCTGCCACGGTTTTCCAACAGTTTGAGCTGGATATTGAGCCCAAGGTGTTCCTCAAGCCATCCCGGGTGAGCAGCACCGAGGCGCTGACCCACAACGAAAGCCGGGAGTTCTCATTTAGTGAAGCAGCCACTAAAGGTATGGAGCCTCTGAGGGAGACTGTGTCCGAATTTGAGATGCTAGCCAGAGCAGGTAAAGACAACTTCCACTGCTATCTGTGCCCTTCCCTCCCTGCCCTGTGCATCCTCCCTGCACGTCTCCTTCCTTCTGGCTTCTCCGGGCACGTGCATTGTAACCTTAAATGTCTTCCCTGATGCATTTGCCTGTGGTTAATTGTGTCAGTACTAACAGTAGATCCACAACAAGATCTTTCCTTCGGCTGGAGGGAGGTTGGGGGTTGCCTGGGCTATAGCATGTGCTGAAGCCTCTTGGTCTGGCACCATCTTTCTGCAGTGATGGGTGGTGGATATCTCAAATGTGAACCTCCCTCCTTGAGCTGTTCTCTGTCCTCTTGAGGTTCTGCAGGGGTGGCAGTGACAGGGCACATTCCTCCTTACATTAAGGGTTTGGGCTTGTGTTTGGGTCCCTGAGTCAACACCAGGGCTTGGAACAGCCAATTAATCCCCAAAGCCACCGAGCGAGTTTTAGAGCATTGCAAGATACAGCACTGCTGCTCTGCATCATCCTGCTTCATCCCTCCCCTCGTCCCAGCAAGGCTTAAGCTGCTGATGCCTTGTAAACTCAAGGGAGGTTTTAGTGGCTTTGTATTATTCAAAATGGAATTCCAGTGTTGGAAAACTCGTTTCAAGTGGTTAGGGCTGGAAATCTATTAAAAAGTATTTATGTTAAAATAGAGACACGGCAATTGGATTCTTTCTTAATTTGCCTTTTTCACCTCCACTTTTATCCCTGGAAAGGCTGGAATTCTTTGCTGTTCAGAAGGACTGGATGTTGTGGAGGACTGTGAGGCTGGATGTTGCCTTGGCACTGTTCCCTTGCTCCTGCAAGGGTTTTGCTTGGTGCTGATCCATAACTCAGATCGGCAGATTCAGATGTAACTCAGATCTCGTTAGTCCTGAATTTAAGATCCTGAAGTCACAGAAGACTAGAGAGCAGCGAATATTTTTGGTGCAATACCTTTCTTGGTAGCTGCTGAAGCTGAGCTGGGTGCACTGATGGGCTGTGCCTTGATTTGCTGAACTCCTGGTTGGAAATGATCCAGCAGCGTGGTGGGAGAGAGAGTCGTGCTGCTTCCCAACGTGATTAAACAACTGATCTTTTCAAAGAGGTCCCAGATCCCCAAATCCCTGCTTTTATTGGGTTTTTTTTTTTCAAGTTTCTTGTGCTATAAGTATACCAAATTTGATATTTAGACAGAGTATTTTCCTCTGGAAAGCTGTACTTGCTCCTGCCTTTAGCTCTGAGGTTTGTCACTGCAGCAGTGAGCAGTGCGTGCTCTTGCCCTGTGCAGTGTTTACTTGGTGCTCAGCAGGCGTAATTGTGTTTTCCTGCTGTTTCCTAAACAACGTAGAAAGCAGAAGTTGAACTGAGTAAGAAAAAGTGCTCTTGGGCTTGCCAGGCAAAGCTGTGAGCATATTCTGGACAAGGGTTTGGAAGCAGAAGTAATGTCCAAGGATGCGTGTTGACTTGTTCTTAACGGGTTGAAGGAAGGCCAGAGCCTGCGCCTGCAACTGATTCTCTTCTCAAGAACGTGGTGGGAGGGAATCCAGAGGTGCTATTTCTTCTTGGTAGCTGTTTCAAACCCTGCTGTTGAGTGTTCCTTCCCACCCTCTCTCGCAGTGTGGCCACAGGAGGAGTACATAGTGGAGTACTCACTGGAGTACGGGTTCCTGCGCCTGTCCCAGAGCACTCGGCAGCGCCTCAGCATCCCGGTCATGGTGGTGACTCTGGGTGAGTGGTGGAGCTGGTGCAGGGGTGGGTGATTCTGGGTGAGTGATATTGCTGGTGCAGGGGTGGATGAGTGCTCTGCAGAGGTTCCTACGCCCCACTGCCTCTTTAGTCTTGTGGAAGCTATTTATAACAGTTGATGGCGCTCCTTTCCCACGCAGGAGGGCTGCTTTATGGAGCCTTGATTGCTTTAGTAGGTCATACCTTTGCAAGAGGAGGAGTCTGAAATGGTGGAGCCTGTTTCAACAAGCCCCAGTGTTGCGTCCAGCACAGTTTCCTCACCGAGGAAGGAAGAGGCTCGTGGTACTGAAGATTTAGGCTCAGTGTTGAGCAGCAGCAGCACAGTGTTAGAGCCCAGCAGTGGGAGCAGTTGTGTGTCAGGAACAGTACTGAGCAGATCTGCTTAGCACGGTCTCCACATGGTTCCATGCCCCTGTGAGCACCAGCAGACCATTTTCCCTGAAGAAGACCACTTTCTCTTCTCCTGGCATTTGCTCCATTAAAACCTGTCCAAGTCAGGAGTATGGTCTCAAACCTTCTCGGGCCTGTGAACTAAATTGATGTGTAATGAGCTGTTAATGCAGCTAGCAGGCTAGATTTCATTCCTTACTCCTAATCAAACTGAATTACAGCTGGACTGGAGCATTAAGCAGTTTTCCTGTACAGGCACTGGGTAGTTTCCCTGTTAAATGTCTCGTTTCCTGACCTGGGTTTTCCAATTCAGCTAGAAAAATTCCTTCATAAGTACTTGCTGAAGATTTCCTTGGGTTCACACTTCCTGTTTTGCTTAGATCTGGGTTATTTTTACATGCTTCATGAGGTGGAACTGAACAGCCTTCATCCACACCCAGAGCCATGGGGAGCGGTTGGCATGTCCTCCACTGCAAGAGGGTGGATGGGGCTGGTGGGTCCAGCAGTGTCATGTTGAGGCCAGCTCATGGCTAAAAAGTCCTGGCCTGGCCCTGTGAGTCTTACTAGAACGTGTTTCTCTGGGCCATTAGCTGGGGTGAGCCCAGGGAGATAGTCCAAGGCTAGAAGGCAAATTCCTTTTATGTCTGTGCCAGCAGAGAGTGTGAGAGCCCTGGTGTAATTCCTGAGGCCTGGTTGACATGAGCATCTTGACAGCCTGGCTGGATCTGTCAGGGTGTGAACATTTTCCCTCCCTGTCCTGCCCAGTTTGTACTGCCAAAGGTCCAAGCACAGACACAGGTCTGATGGGTACACGGGTCCTTCTGAGTGATGAGAACACTCTGTGCTTGCCTTGCTGCTTCTGTGGAACATTCAGGAACAACCTGAATGGGTTTTTTTCTTCTCTCCAGATCCTACCAGGGACCAGTGCTTTGGGGACAGGTTCAGTCGCCTGTTGCTGGATGAGTTCCTGGGTTATGATGACATCCTGATGTCAAGTGTCAAAGCCTTAGCTGAAAATGAAGAAAACAAAGGTAAGGCTCAGAGGGATCAGCAGCTGTGCAGAGCAGTTGATGCATGAATGTCATCTTCTGACTATTGATTAATCTCTAATGCAGGGAATGGTTCCCTGTGTTATGTAGAGATGTTATTGTCAAGGACAGAATGAGACAAGCAGGAGGGAAGAGGTGTCTGCAAATGTGACTTCCTGCTGCCTCACTGCACTGCATAACAATAGGAGTGCTGCTGAGGAGTGTTGCTTCAGATCCCATTCCTTTAGAAGGCACTGGAAGGTTGTCCTTAGGTGGCGGGTGAATCACACTGAGCTTGTGTGTTTGTGGTTTCTCTTCAGGTTTCCTTCGCAATGTGGTGTCTGGGGAGCACTATCGCTTTGTCAGCATGTGGATGGCCAGGACTTCTTATCTGGCAGCCTTTGTCATCATGGTCATATTTGTAAGTTAACAGGAGTTGGGCATTGCCTGGACTCTGAGCCTGGTGCTGGTCAGGTTTGAAAGTAACAGCCCAGGCCTGAGCTCTCATCCGCTGTTAAAGCTCAGCTGACGGAGCAGGAGATTCTTGTCTGTGTGATGTTTGGTTTTTTAAATGTGGGTTCTAAAGTTCTAACAGTGAAACAGAGGAGCTGAAACAGGGTGAAGTGATGGTTTTCTTGTCCAAAGGGAGGTTCCTGTTAGAAAGGCTCTAAGCGTAGTTAAACCACTCGGGCTGCCAAGGCACCGGGTGTGGAAGTTTGTCCTCTGAGACTTCCAAGAACAGGCCTAATTTGCCAGGAGTGCTCAAGATAGACCCAGGTCTCCTGTGTCTGTGTGAGATGAGGTGATTACAGATCAGTGTTAGATGAGATCCCAAGGGATAACAGCCTGTGTTCCTAGTCTTGGGCAACCATCTCCCTTTGTGTCTGTGCACTGATGTAGTACAGCACTACTGTGGTGAATTGGAAGGGGGAATGAGTGCTGGTGACTGTTGTCAAGGGCCTTATGAGCTGCTGGGGGGAGCACACATGGAGGACGGGAAAAAAACAGGGTTCCAGCCCTGCTGCTGTTTGGTTTGGCCCCTGCTCAGCTCTTCAGAGTTGGTCTCTTTACAAACGAGTGGCTGGCAGTCTCTTCACTGCAGTGACACAAAGATGAATTGCTCTTGGGGAAGTCGCAATTACTCTTTGGGCAATCACACCTCAAACAGATGAACAGGGGACACAACCGTGTGCTGAGCAGCACAGCAAGCCCAGGCTCGCCTGTCCAGGCTGGAGGGGGGTTCTGGTGCTGACTCCTGGGCCTCTGTGGCTCTAACCCTGGTTTCTGCTCTCGTGTTTCAGACTCTCTCTGTTTCGATGCTGCTGCGCTACTCGCACCATCAGATCTTTGTCTTCATTGGTAAGGATTTTGGAGGGGTTTAGGGTGTGCTGCACACTGTGCCTGCTCCAGCAGAGCATATCACATGTATCCTCTTGATTGTTGTTGTTTAGAAGGGTCCTGCACAAGGAATATATCCCCCTGTGCCCCTGTCACCAGGCTTGGAGAGCTGTTCTGGCTCTCACAAGTGTCAGGGAAGGTGGTCTTGGGACACTCGGCTTCACTGCTTGTTGCAGTGCTCTGAATGGGGAGCAGCATGGGATGGAGGGTCCCGTGGCCTCACAGCCACTTCGTGTCACAGTCTGCTTTCCTTCTTGCAGTTGACCTGTTACAGATGCTGGAAATGAACATGACAATTGCATTCCCTGCAGCTCCTCTCCTCACTGTCATTCTGGCTCTCGTAGGTAAGGACATGAGCTCACTTTTTGTGCTGTGCAGCGTGTCCCATTGGGATCTGCAGGAAGTCTGACCTGGCCACAGCAGGTGCTTAGTGTGGCACCTTGTGAGGACTCTGAAATTTGATGTCATGCTGAGCTGCATCATCCTTCTGGGTCCCCAAAAATCAGCTCATTTGGAAATCACAAAAACTGAGGCTTTGCCTGTCACTTCAGTTCATTTCAGATTCCCACTTCTGTCACCATGTTGCATTAGCGTAGTTTGAGTTTAAAAAGCCCCCCAGACCTCCCCAAAATCTTCACTGCCTGGAGCCAGCTGATCATCTGGCCCGTACCGTGCCCGCAGGCAGCAGTGACCATGTTTGCCCTTAGCTGCTGCTTTAGACAGCAGTTTGGTCCTGCTGTGGCCTGTGCTGCTCGGTCACCCAGCCCCAGCTCTGAGGTGACAGAGGATTCCCTCCTGTGCCCCTGATGTGTCCTGCAGGGATGGAGGCCATCATGTCTGAGTTCTTCAACGACACCACCACCGCCTTCTACATCATCCTCATCGTGTGGCTGGCCGACCAGTACGATGCCATCTGCTGCCACACCAATACGAGCAAGAGGCATTGGCTCAGGTAAGGGCTGCCCGGGGCCTCCTTCCCATGTTCTCACCACGTGTCCTCTCCAGTGGGAAAGGGGCCGCTTCAGATCCCTTCCAGCCCTCCCAGGCAGCAGCGCTTCCACTCCTGAGAGCTTCTGTGGGAGCTGCCCTATGTGTCACAGGGCCCAAAGTGCAATTGCTTCCACTCTGGCCTTGTGCCTGGACGTCAGGAATCGCCTCAATCCTTTCCCTGCCCTTTGTTCTGCCCTGTTGAAGAGCTGTTCATAACAGGGCAGTTTGAATTACCTGTTAATTGGAGTCTGCACCGCCCTGTGCAGCGTGCCCCAGCTCGGAATGGAGCTGGGAGTAGACAGGAGCTCACGTTTGTCCTGTCCATTGCCAAATCCTGATTATTTCTGCCTTTCTCTCCAGGTTCTTCTATCTGTACCACTTTGCCTTCTATGCCTACCACTACCGGTTCAACGGGCAGTACAGCAGCCTGGCTCTGGTCACCTCCTGGCTCTTCATCCAGGTGAGTGGCTGCCACTTCTGCTGCCCGGTGATGCCGCC